CGAGAGGACTCAGTAAAAGTTGGTTCAAGGGGCCATTTCTTGGTTTATTTATTTGTTCGCTGTTTTTAGTATGCAGTCTTGAAGGGGGGGAAATAATGGCATTGGGAAGAGAAGATGCAAGAGGGAAATGAGTGGAACAGAGGTGAGGAGAAGAGGGTTCTAACCCCTGGCTTAAGAATTAGGGAGGATTAGGTAAAGAGAGGGAAGTGTTTAGGTGAAGAGAGGATAGCTGAGGGAATTCTTTCTGGTATAAATGCTCCGGGGAAAGCAAGTAGATGTTTGTGGAAGTGACAGGGGCCAAATTTGAAATCTTAAGAAGGAAAGGTCTGGAGTAGCCTCTGGGAACAATGGAATCCACGGGCCATGGAAGGCAGTCTGCATCAACAGCAATGAGCACCCCTGGGAGAGGACACAGGGGAGTAGAGCCTGTCCTCAGAGGGGCGGCCGTGTTTCCCTTCTTTGTTGTTAACTGAGAACCCAGCAAAAGGCTGGTTGTGCCCTAAATTGTGCCCTAACCAGTTTGGATAGGGCGTCGGCTTACAGACTCAAGTCCCGGTTCAATTCCAGTCAAGGGCATGTACCTTGGCTGAAGGCACATCCCCAGAATGGGGTGTGCAGGAAGCAGCTGATGGATGTTTCTCTCTCACCTATGTTTCTAACTCTCTATCCCTCTCCCTTCCTCTCTGTAAAAAAAATCAATAAAATAGATTTTAAAATATAATAATAAAGTAAATTGTGAATTGACAAGGCTGGTAGGCAGGTAGAAGGTCGAGGGCTATGGGCTTCCATTGCGCTCTTAGCTGTGGGTTGAGAGAATAGAGTTGAATGACTGACTAAAGGGTCCAATGGGATACAGGTATGGGAGGTACAAGCAAGTCCCATTTTCCCTGGCCCCCCCTCTACCCACCCCCCGACCTAGATCGCTCCAAGATATGGCGCCTGCACCCCAGCCTTGCCCCTCATCTGTCTGTCTCCCCAGGCTGCCTTTACCACTGACTCTCCCTGATTGTAGCAACAGTTGCTCCTTTTCTTCCAGCCCACCAAGAGGACTGTGTGGAACAAGGAGATACAGAGCCTTTATTTAGTTATACTATGTGGTCTTTTATTCCTTTTCTGATTTAGCTTCTCGTGTATATATTTTCACTTTCACATGTCACTAAGTTTAAATGTTTAAACATTTCCCCCCTTCAGTAGCCAAAATGAAAACAAAGCAACAGCTAATATAGTAATAAATTTATTTCTAGCTACCAGGAGATAAGCTTCAATGCAATGTGGCCATAAAGTATGGCTCCCAGGCTTAGGGGAGAAGCCATAAACTTTTATAAATAAAAGAATTTTAAAATACTCCTGGCAGTCTAAATAAGGGTAAAATATAACTTATAACCGGCAGCACACAGCCAGCGCCAGAGCTACTTGCAAAAGAAAGCCATGAACTGAAATAAGAAAACGTTTGCAGGATTTCTGTTGCTACCTTGCACCTCAGAGGGGCTGGGCTGGAGAATTCCCTGTGAGAAGTTGTTGACTCACCTTCAGATATTTTGTCTCAGTTACGTCTCCCAACACCTTTGGATTTGCTGAAGCTCTGTGATAATCACCAAGGAAACCCAGGGTACTTTGGCCCAAATAAGAGAATTCTCAGCAAAGGTGAAGGCTTTATAGAACAACTTCCAAAAGACGGAGTGTCATAACCCGAGACCGTGTCCCACAGGGGGGCTATGAGGGAACTTGCCCAGCTCAGGAGTTGACTAGACTTTCAGTCTTGCTCTGCAGCCAATCTTTAAAGAAATATGAAGCCCTCCCAAGGGCCATCTCAGGTTTCACTTGGGTTTTCAGCTCAGGAGACTCTTGGGTAAACACTTAGAAAAATACAGTGGCATTTTAGTGAGCAATGCGTTGATTTGAAAAACTGTTGAAGTAATGGATTATTCCTCTGGAAAATTAAGAAGCAGACAAGAGAGTACTGCTTTCCCCTTCCCTCTCCTCTCCTCTCCTCTCCTCTCCTCTCCTCTCCTCTCCTCTCCTCTCCTCTCCTCTCCTCTCCTCTCCTCTCCTCTCCTCTCCTCTCCTCTCCTCTCCTCTCCTCTCCTCTCCTCTCCTCTCCTCTCCTCTCCTCTCCTCTCCTCTCCTCTCCTCTCCTCTCCTCTCCTCTCCTCTCCTCTCCTCTCCTCTCCTCTCCTCTCCTCTCCTCTCCTCTCCTCTCCTCTCCTCTCCTCTCCTCTCCTCTCCTCTCTCTCATCAGAAGTGAAAATATAATAGAGGGAGAAATGGAATGCTGCCAATAAGATGAAATCAGAATTTTATCAGTGCTCTCATTTAATAGCTTGTCTTTCCCAAGCATCTGTACTTACAGGCCAACTGTGTTTGTTGCTGGGAAGCAGGTTAAGGATGGTCTGTCCCCTCCAGGAACTGAGGGCCTTGCCAGCATAGAGTGGGTTACACCTGGCAACAGGAATGCATCTGGGAGGGCTTGTTAGATACTAGTAAGCTTACACTGAGTGGCCAGATTATTATGATCTCTGAACGCATAATAATCTGGCCACTCAGAGTGTGTGTGTGTGTGTGTGTGTGTGTGTGTATGTGTGTGTGTTAGAGGCCTGGTGCATGAATTTGTGCATGGGTGGGGTCCAGCCAGCCTGGCCAGAGGGAGGGGACATGGGTGGTTGGCTGGTCTGCCTGCTGGTCGAACTCCTGGTCAAGGGATAATTTGCATATTAGCCTTTTATTATATGGGATATGCACTGAGTGGCCAGATTATTATGCATTCAGAGATCATAATAATCTGGCCACTCAGTGTATTTTAGAAGGTGGTAAACTAGCCTCTGGAGGGAGAGGCATTCATTCCAGAGAGAGGAAATGAAGGGGTTGAAATGGTAAAGGGAAGTAGAATGGATGTTCATTCATTGGGCTTCTACTGTGGAAAGCCTTCAATACCATTTTAAGGTTTTTGGAATATATTGTGTAGACAGTAGGAAGCCATAGAAAAAAAGAACAAGCAGAGACCTGATCTGTGTTTTAAATTTGTTTCCTAAAGAGAAGTCTGTTGGCGGTAGGGAGATGGGAGACAGATGATGGGGCTCTCGGGAATGAGCAGAAGGAATGTGTGGGCATTCCATGAATGATTTGCGAGGCCTGGCCCTGGCTGAAGTTGGGTTTGTTTTGCTGGTTTGTGCAGAGAAAGACAAGCTCACACAGAAACTTAATTCTCAGTTTCGTTTCACGACTTAGTAGCCATGTGTTCATGGGCAGGGAACCTCAACTCTGTCTCAGCGTTCCTCGTCTACAGAATGGGAATAACAGGAGGCCTTCTGCATCGGGTTGCCATCCGTTTAACTAAAATGTCATATCTGTATGTGTAGCCTTTAGAACCACGCCTAGGATGTGGCACATGCTAACTATTTTCTCACTTCGTTTGCATTGTTTATCGGTTCATTAATTCACTTGTTTGTTCGTTTACTCTATGTGAAGGCAGTTTTAAAAGAATCCAGGATAATCTATTCTAGATTGTCATTGGTAAATTTTGCTTGCCAAATTTTACTGACCTTTTTTTTTTTTTTTTTTCTTTTGGCTGGGGAGTAAGGGGGAAACGGGGGAGAGACTCCTTTTCTTAATTCCTCTTCAGCCAAACATTTCCAACAGGAACTAAGAGGGTGGTGCTTATAAATTAAAATTAGCTACTTCCCCTCCATGTAAAGTGTGAACAGAAAACTGTACAAAGAATGCTGCGGTGCGGTGGTCCTTGGGGCCAGTGTGTGACAGGGGGCAGGGGAGTGTTGGGTCAGGCTCCCGGGCTGGGGAAAAGGGGCCGGCTTGCTTTACAGTGCCACCTGGTTCCATTATTTCGGTCCACGGATTCCGAAATTCCAGAGCCTAGCGTGAGCCGCACTTGACTTTGACGGAGAAACACCTCCCGGAGTCCCCAATATAAAAGTTTAATCACCCATGCCTCTGCTTCCATTCTTAAATTGGAACAATACTTCTGTCTCCCACGAATATAATAAAAAAAGTTATGAGTATTTTCATTGTAGGTCTATTTTATTATATAAATGTATATTTGCATTTATTATATCAGTAACTGCAGGCTTCGGTATTAGCACTCAGAACCAAGCTCTAATCGGAGGGAATAGCTCCTTTTTTTTTTTTTTCCTTGTGCAGAGCCAGGATTCTGTTTCATCACAGCGTTGGGGCTCTTAGGAAACAGGAAGTGGGTCTCATTAGCTTACAGGAAGAATCTACAGGAATTGGGGAGAAAAACGAAATATCCTGAAACGTTTTGCCTTTGAAGAGCTGGGAAGGCAGTTCTTGACTGAGGAGAGACTCACACAGCTTCTCTGTATAGTTGAGGTGAACAAAATTCTCCTTGACACTGAAGGCTTTTATTGTACTTGCACATAAACTCTCCATTGATGGAAGGGGTTCTTTTGTTTGATCTATCAAGACTGTCAAGCCATATGTCACCATCCCCAACTAGAAAGCAGCATCATGAAACGATGATTAAAGTTGCAGGAGCTAATTCATGAAGTGGCAAGAGATGATGGAGACTGCATTTTCTCCTGTTGGTTACTGGGAGTTCAATTTTATAGCACTGAGTACTGCTGAAAGAAAGCTCGTAAATTATTTAAATGACGTGCTCCAACTTTTCTCCTTGACTTATGGGTAAGCAGTTTTGACTAGCTCCTAAATTAGGGCAGTGTTGTCTTTTGATAAGATAATTTGCTGAACATGTTTTTTGCGGGATCGTGATCATGTGGTTAATGAGCAAAGATCGCAGGGGGTTGAGTGATTTGGAATCTAGTCCCATCCATGTAGGAACACACGTGTGACTTCAAGCAAGCAACTTATTTCTCCTGATAATGTTTGTCCCATCTCCTTGGAGGGGCTTTTGTGAGAATCAAATGAATGGAGGTAAAGAAAAGCTCAAGCACTAGAAATGGCTAACGGTAGTTGCTGAGCATCCTAAGGAAGAACAAATGAGCATTTTGTTTCTTTGTTTACTTTCACAGGCAACAAGGGAAACCCTCAGCCGCCACTGCACCACGCTGGGCGATGCTCTTCGGAAGGAGAATGACTTTGCTCTTATCATTGACGGGAAGACCCTCAAGTACGCCCTGACATTCGGAGTGCGCCACTACTTCCTGGACCTCGCTCTGTCCTGCAAAGCGGTGATTTGCTGCAGGTACGTTCTCCTGTCAGGTTTCAGTCAAGAGCGACTTTATCCTGAGTTCCCTGGTTCTTAAAGTTATTCTCTCCAGGATTTGTAAGTGTCAGGTTATTCATTAATGGAAGGCTCATAGACTGGGATAGACTTTATTAGCAGAGATTTTGAAAGTGAGTCCTAAAAAATCCTCAATAAGTTATTGTTCATGGTCACAATTGACAGGCATCTTGCTATTTTCTGCATGTGAAGTCAATCATTTACCTGCATTTCCAACTAACATTATTTCTGTAATACCTACCATGATCATCTACACAGAAATCTCTTATCCTGCCGCCAGGTTTTATCCGGGGGAATGGCAGGATGGGAGGCACTGATTAAATCATCTTCCAGGGAGCTGAGCATTTTCCTGAAGGCTCAGCTAGTGGGAAATAATTATTGATTGTACAGTCCTTCACCCTCTAATGTAGAATTTTGCCTATCCCCTAAAACAGTATGATATTGCCTAGCTCCTAAAATAAAATCTGTTTTCAGTTATCAAGGCCCCACCCACAGAATTGTATAAACCATCCGGTCCTTCCTGAACTCCTTGTCCAGGAATCTTCCCCATCTCCCTGTCTACACTGTGTAAACTGTGTCTTCCTAGAACTTAAAGTGCATTCATGACTGTGCCAGCCTCTTCCCTCTGGCCACCATGAATCCTAAGGATTTTCCCCTTCACTGCTCACTTACTGAATCTTACCCACTGGTCACACTGGGTCCAGGGTAGCAGTTTCTCGAATTGTTTCTCTTCCTCAAAGTGAAATGTTAGCAGGGCTTCTGAAGAATTTCCTACAATCGCTGCTTTTCATTTTATCTTTAAGACTGTAATGTTTGCTTTTAGTATTTTCTTAAAAATGTATGTATTTTTTAAAGAGTGTTACGTGTTTTTGCACCTTTTTATTTTTTTGGTCCAGGCTTAGTCACTTAAATATCCTGTGTATTATATTGTCTCCAAACTTATTAGCCATGCCATGTAGAGATTTCCTAAATTTCAATTGAAATATACTTTGTGAAATATAATCTAAATTGTACTTAATAGGTACCCTTTATAAGATTCATTTCAACCTATAAAAGTGTGTCATATCTGAAGAATTGAGTTGCTTATTCTTCTCAGTGGCATCTATGAATAAATATTACTATAAAGCTCATAGATAAAATAGTGCAAGATCATTAATATTAGTAATAATCAGGCTCTTTGCTTACTCTTGAAGAAAGAATTGGCAGTTTTGTCATCTTGACTGTGTCATTTGCACTTTGGTATCCTCATGCTCTTAAAAAAAAAAAAAAATGGCCAAAACAGGTTTGGCTCAATGGCTAGAGCATCGGCTTGGGGACTGAAGGGTCCCGGGTTCGATTCTGGTCAAGGGCATGTACCTTGGCTGTGGGCATATCCCCAGTGGGGGGTGTGCAAGAGGCAGCTGATCGATGACTCTCTCTCATCGATGTTTCTAACTATCTCTCTCCCTTCCTCTCCGTACAAAATCAATAAAATGAAAAATGAAAAAAAAATTTTTTAAATGCATTTTCCGTAACTTCTCCTGGCTCCTGACACTCTTTGTGCCAGATTTGGCTGTGGAATCATTGTCACTAATTGGGTCCCAAGGATTTAGTCACGTTTGCTCAAAAACACATTAACAGATACAACTCTTGGCTCTTACGTGGACACAGAGCAGAACCGGGGCTATTGAGATAAAAAATAAAACCGGTTCCCTTGAGTCAGCAGCCTCAGTCCTGCGCCCCCGTGTGCTTGACGTGGATGGCCCTCCCTGGAGCATGAAGAAGACGTCCCTGCATCCCTCCGTCCTCTCTGTGTTCAGTAGAATCACAACTGGTTTGGAAGATGTGGGAGGCCAGTTTTCCAAACGCAGCCCTAGCAGCTGAGCCTCATTCTTACGGCATTGCCTAACCCAGTACCTCCCACCATCCTTCAAAAAGCCGAACCACAAACTAAACAATAGCAGAGGGAGAGAAAAACTAGAAAGCAGCATCGAGGGAGGAAAAATATGCTCTGTGCTTGTGAAACGCCCTCTGGAGATCCTTGTTCTGGACGCTCACAAGTCACATGGACCTCGGGGCTCCTCCAGGCCCCGGGGAAAGGAATCCCACCCAGCCGAGCACATGCAGCCAGCTCTGCAGCCGCACTTATAAAGATGTGTGTGGCCCCTGCCCCCTCCGCCCTGCCTTGTGCATGTCCCTGTGCAGACACTGAGTTTTATATAGAGTTGTAGGCTTGTTGTGTGTGTGTGTGTGTGTGTGTGTGTGTGATGTCTCTAAGTAAAATATCTCTCCTTGCCCCTTTTCTTCTCATTATCTGCATACTCTCTCTTTTCCCATAAGGACTGTGGTTTCGGCTTCCGGTCTGCCTTTGAGAATTCCTCTAAGCCCATAATTACATCAGTGCCACTGCCCGATTTATGTCTCTGCACCTTCTTGGCCTGGTGCCTCTTGGCATATAAGCTCTTGGCACAGGCCATCTTCATGTCAGTGGTTTCCACTTTCCCTGCCAATGCTCCTCTCCCCGGGCAGGCACAGGTGAGAAGAAGCTCTGTGCATCATCCTTCACCCTGCAACCCCCATGTCTCGCCTGGTTTTTTTTTTATTAATAGATGATGATACTCTCCCAGCCTCAGGAAATCCTCTATTTTACTTCATTATAGGAGATGCTCCCGGTAAATACTGGACATTAGTTCGAAATACAGTGCAGGACTGTTTCCCCAAATGCATGTTCACTCAAGCTCCGTGGGTTTTCCCCTCAACAACATCTTTCCTGTCAGTCTGCACAGGAAGATATTCAGATCCTGCCCCGCGCCTGCAGCCCTCTCTCTGTCTCGGTTGGGGGGAAGTGGAGGGAGAGGCATCCCGTGACAGATAATGAGGGCCCGTGTTAGCTGCTCTTCAGGATTACATCAGCCTCTCTTCCCTGGCATTATCAGCGCCGGGGGCAGGAGGCAGTTCTCGGAGTCTGCTAATTGACACAGTTATGGAAGATGAGCGTTTTCCCGAAGAGTCTGCAGCGGGATTGAAAGAAGCGGTTGTTCTCCATCTGTGGGCATCGGGTCTCATACTCACCCCCGTTCTCAGAAGGGGGACAGAAATGAGCCCCCAAATTATTCAGGGCTTTGGAGTCCCGGTTTTGGTTTACAAGGGAAGGTTGCATGTCATTCCTCAGGTATTTTTTTTTTTTTTTTGAGTTTGTCAACTCCAAGAATAAAAGGAAATCTGTTTGTATCCGTCTACGAAGCGCTGTATTTTCAGGAGCCCCACATGAGCAGCTTTCGTTTTTACCTCCGCACTCGTCTACCTGTGCAACCTGAGCAGCTTAACAGGAAACACGCGTCTCATGGCAGGAGAGTTTCCGATCCCTTTTCCTGGTGCCAAACGTAAGCTGCGCCTCGGCAGCCCTCTTCCCTTCGGTTCCCTGGCTCATGCACCCCGGTGCTTACTGTCTGTGTGATCACAGTACTCTTTTTTTAAAATATATATATAATATATTTTATTGATTTTTTTTTTTACAGAGAGGAAGGGAGAAGGATAGAGAGTTAGAAACATGGATGCGAGAGAAACATCGATGAGCTGCCTCCTGCACACCTCCTACTGGGGATGTGCCCGTAACCAAGGTACATGCCCTTGACCGGAATCAAACCTGGGACCTTTCAGTCAGCAGGTCGATGCTCTATCCACTGAGCCAAACCGGTTTTCAGCGATCACAGTGATCACAGTACTCGTGAAGAACAACATGGAAGCTGTGGACCAGCTCCTCCAAAATATACACCAACGTGTCACATTACAGGCGCTATTGTAGGGGTTACACAAACTCCCCAAACCTCCTTGCACAGGGATAGAGGAAAGGGACTTGCTCTGAGAATCATGAAGATGTGATTCTAGGGTAGGTAACAACAAGAGCCATTCTGCAAAGCACTAGTGTCAGAAAATAAGTCCTTATCTCGGTTTCCAAGTGATTCCCTGAAGTCTTATAGCTTGCGTTGTTGGCAGAATGGCGCTTCGGCTGGGGGTGCACACACTTCTTGTTCAAATGCTACCTCTCCGGCACCGCGGAGACCCCACGGCATCTCTCCGGCCTTGCTTTCGTGGCCCGTGGAGCTTGGCACGCAGCAGTCCTCCGGGGAGGCCGCTGTCTAAAGCGGAGCAGAGCGGAGCTCCTCTGGCTTGGAGAGGCGGGAAAGCCGTGAGCACACGCACACTTCCTGGCTCAGCTCCTTCCCGCTCGAGAGCTCCTGGGTCAGACGATGGCTCTGAGCCCCCCTTTTTACTATTTTTTTGTGCGTGTGTTTGTGTTGGCCACTCTGTCCTGGGAAGACCCTGCCTACTGCTTGCATTCGCTTAATGTGGGGAAGCATCTGTTCCACCCCCTGTGACTCTTCCCTGCAGAAGAGAGCGGTAGGAACGTGCAGGGAAGTCCCGCCGTGTGTGAACTGGCATGTGGTTTCTGAGCTCCTCGTCAGTTCATATAACCCGGCCTTTCGGAGAATTGTACATTTTTTTTCCCCGTAGTTGTCAGTTCCGTTTAAACATACATTGAGACTTATGTTCTGTGACAGTTGGTTGAAAATTAGCCTGGAGCCTCCAGCTTTTAGACCGTCTAGTAATCACCGTTCTTCCGCATAATTTAGGTACTCGTGTCTTCTGAAAAGCAGAAGTTAAATTGAAGTAAGCGTTTTTCCCTACTTGCAACATCTCCAATCAGAGTGTTAGCCCCCTTTTAGGCGATCTCCCCGCAGTGCCTAAAAAAACGCTTGACCTCCGTGTGTGTCGTCACTCGGGAGTGGCATTCCAGGCCGGGCCTTTCACCTCCGTCCCATGGGGGACCCTCCGAGGAGAGGTCCGAAGGGACACCCTGCATACTTTCTGTCATAGTGTGAGGGCGTTCAGTCAGGGATTTATTTACTGCTTGAGTCTATGGCTTGCATCTTTTTAGGGTTGTCTTAAACTTCAAGGATTTCTCTAAGTAAGTGTTCTCC